TAAAAAGTTATTTTCGTAAAACTCAGTTTTCATGTGAAGGTAGTTGTTTCGGGATGACTTTTTTAATATCGTTTCGTATAGTAAATTGTTTTTATATTACATTGTACAGCGTTCGTATGAATTATATCTCATTCAATTTCATAACAAATGTTTAGAGTACAAACTGAATGGAAGATCCAGCTGATAGAGTGGTGAACACGAAAGATGGATAAGTATGTTGGGGAGTTAAAATGGACATCCATATGTATTGGCACAATCACGTCGCTAGAATTGCAAAGGCTGTTTCTCGAAAGCTTGGAACACTGCTTCGAAAAAGATAACTGTACACGCCTCAGCAACTTTTCATGCTTTATAAAGCTCATTTCAGACCTTCTTTAGAGTATTGTTCTCATGTATGGAGTTCCGATCCCAAACATACCCTGAAGTTACTGGATTCATCCAGAAAAGAGCCAATCGCCTGATTGGAGACATGAACATCACGTGCAAACTTGATAGCCTGAAACATCGAAGAAAGTGGAGATTTGTCTCATTTCTATTGATGCTTTCAAATAGATTCAAATCTCGCACAAGGACCGCACTGAGAGCGCTTTGAAGATTTTTCTGTAGTGCTTGTGTGATGATTTACGAAGACTTAAGCCACAGCGAAAAAGCACAATAGTCATGGCTTGAAAATGGATCGAAAATGGGAGCCGAAACGTCGAATACAAAACTCCAGACCCGGTTCAACTCGAACTCAAGAACAACATACTGCTGACCGCGGAAACCTATCCGAACACATAGTACGTCTCTACGCTCAGGAGGACAAAGCTTCCCAAATCCAACATCACACCGGCAGAGAGACATTCTGTCAAAAGTCTCCACAATAACCCAGACCTGATCATCCTTCCAGCAGACAAAGAAAGTAGCTGTTTCAGGAGGACTTTCTTTCAGTTTGTGTCTGAAAGTTACTTCTTTGCATGATCTACACATCCATATATAGAGTTACTTATTTTAAAATTGATTATTTCCTTCCTTTCCTTGGAAGATTTCCTCATCCTTGTTTTTGTATCAAGATGGAGTAGTAGAAAGCCAAAAACTTTCTTTCCCAAAGACACCCATATGTATTGGCACAATCACGACACTAGAATTGCAAAGGCTGTTTCTCAAGAGCTTGGAACACTGCTTCAAAAAAGATAACTGTACACGCCTTAGAAACTTTTCATGCTTTATAAAGCTCATTTCAGACCTTCTTTGGAGTATTGTTCTCATGTATGGAGTTCCGATCCCAAACATACCCTGAAGTTACTGGATTCATCCAGAAAAGAGCCAATCGCCTGAGACGCGAACATCACGTGCAAACTTGATAGCCTGAAACATCGAAGAAAGTAGAGATTTGTCTCATTTCTATTGATACTTTCAAATAGATTCAAATCTCGCTCAAGGACCGCTCTGAGAGCCCTTTAAAAAATTTTCTGTAGTGCTTGTGTGATGATTTACGGAAACTTAAGCCACAGCAAAAAAGCACAATAGTCATGGCTTGAAAATGGATCGAAAATGGAAGTCGAAACGTCGAATACAAAACTCCAGACCTGGTTCAACCCGAACTAAAGAACAACATACTGCTGACCGCGGAAACCTATCCGAAAACATATTACGTCTCTACGGGGAGGAATTACTGAAACACACCAAAACATATTCCTCACTCCTCATCCAAAGATCCAAACTTCTCTGCGATTACACTTTCCTCAAATCCTGCAGAGATCATGAAGTCGTCCCGAAATCATTCCAACTCAAGCATCACGACAAATCCTTCTCAGCCAAACACATTCGCACTAGTCAGGCCCTCATCCGAAAAACCATCCACGACATCAGACGTAACCTACACTTCAGTAAGGAATCATTATATCAATGCTATGGCATGGTATCTCTAGCCAAAAACCATCCACTCATCGGGGACACATTCCTCAGAATTCCTCAAGAGAAAGCGGACCATATCAGCAATCAAAAAACAGCAACACACAAGAAAAAACTATCATTTCTCCTGGAAGCCAATATTCCAATGCCATCCACATCCAATCCCCCAGTCCTAGTTCACAATCTCACTGACACCCCACTGGACAAAAATGTCCACAACATTTTATCTGAAGGTTTCAATTTATCTATCACTTCCACTTCAAATCCAACCGAAACACTCATCACTCAAATCGAATCTGCTATCTCTCACCTTCCTGAAATGATAGCTGAAGAAATTTGACAAGATATCGCTACTACTCTCAGGAGGACAAAACTTCCCAAATCCAACATCACACCGGCAGAGAGACATTCTGTCAAAAGTCTCCACAATAACCCAGACCTGATCATCCTTCCAGCAGACAAAGGCAACGCAACAATTATTCACAACACTTCTGACTGAGGAATTCCCCGGAATATCAACCCACCGATAGGGACCCAACAACATATCTTGAGAAGAAAACCAAGACTCTTATCAACAACTCCAATCTTCCTACCTAAACTATGAAAGCTCTCATCCCCCGAGAAAAATCCTCACGTACCCTCCGCATATACGATCTCACAAAAATACACAAACCCAATGTTCCTTTTCGCCCCTTTGTCAGTGCCTTCGGTTCTCCAACACAAAACCTTGCTAAATACCTTGCAAACACTCTTTAACCCCCTGCAGAACAGTCCTTGTCATACGTTCGAAATTCATTTCACTTCATTGAAATTCTCATGAACCTCAACATCCAACAGACTGACATCCTTGTTAGTTTCGACGTAGTGTTTTATTCACTAATATTCCCTTATCAGACACATTGACTATTCTCGAAACGAAACACCTAAATCCCAAAAGCAACCTCAACCTCATCAGTCACTGTATGTCCAGCACATACTTCCTCTTTCAAGATACTTTCTATAAACAAGTAAAGGACGCCCCAATTGGTTCTTCTCTTTCACCAGTCCTTGCAAACCTTTTCATGGAAGATTTCGAAACCAAGACTATTGACAGGTTCGACCACAAACCCTCTTGCTGGTTCAGATACGTAGATAACATAAATGACCCAAATATAAAATTCACAATGGAAATTGAAACCAATAACTCACTTCCATTCCTAAATGTCCTCATCACAAAATCCAATAACTCCTTCACCCACACGGTCTACAGGAAACCACAACGCAAACTCCTACCATCATCCAGCACAAATCAACTCCGTCTTAAATTATCTCATCCATAGATCCATCAACCTCACGAACCACCACAACAAACCACGAGAGCTAACCCAACTCAAATCAGCTCTCCTTCAAAATGGATTCACAGACCATCAAATTGACAGATCAATCCATCGTAAACAAACTTCTTCATCCAGTTCCATAGACCCAAAAGACAACAACGTTCCCCACATAGCTTTTCTTTCCTACATTAAAGGTGTAACTGATAAAATCGGCCGAATTCTCAAAAAACAGGACATAAAAACGTTCACAGCCAACAATCAAATTTTCACATTCCTTCGTTCTCCCAAGGACACAATTATCAATGAATCTCAGGGTTAATATGAAATGCCATGCTCCGATTGCGATAGAACATATATAGGCCAGACCAACAGACGTGTGACAAGTAGACTATACGAACATCAACTTGCTGTCAGAAAGTCAGACCCATCCTCAGCCTTATCGAAACATCATCAAGAGACAGGACACAACATAGACTTTGCGAACACTAAAACCATCGCTACAGCGAAATCACTCCAAGCTCGGATAATTCGCGAGGCCATCGAAATTGAAAAGCGACTTTTCTGCCTGCACACACTGTGGGTACTCCTTAGTTACCTTCGATTCTTTCTGGGATTTGTCACTCCCCATACCACAAAGATTAACATCAACAAATTGTTTGGAATAAATCCGCGAATGCTTCGGAATTTGAAAGAACGTTTCGAACGAAATCTCATCATTATAACTCAGAGGTCATCACTGTCTCTATTTGGCAACCAAGAAATGACTGATCAGCTAAACATATCAATTTTACAGTGAAGATTTTTGAATGAATGAATTGAAGTATTTTACCGAATTCCAAAATATAAAGGATGTTCTACTAAATGCGGTCATTTCTAATAACATGTGTATGAATTTATATACGTATCTATTAGATTGAAAACCATCGCTACAGCGAAATCACTCCAAGCTCGGATAATTCGCGAGGCCATCGAAATTGAAAACCGACTTTTCTGCCTGCAGACACTGTGGATACTCCTTAGTAACCTTCGATTCTTTCTGGAATTTGTCACTTCCCATACCACAAAGATTAACATCAACAAATTGTTTGGAATAAATCCGCGAATGCTTCGGAATTTGAAAGAACGTTTCGAACAAAATCTCATCATTATAACTCAAAGGTCATCACTGTCTCTCTTTGGCAACCAAGAAATGACTGATCAGCTAAACATATCAATTTTACAGTGTAGATTTTTGATTGAATGAATTAAAGTATTGTACCGAATTCCAAAATATAAAGGGTGTTCTACTAAATGCGGTCATTTCTAATAACATGTGTATGAATTTATATACGTATCTATTAGATTGGAAGTTTTCAACGCTAGAAATAGTCTGTGTTTATGGAATAGGATACAAAAATCTCTCAGTATACAAATCAAGTGATGTCTGAAATAGTGCGTGCAATGGGTATTTTTTCGTTGAAATTTATAGGTTTATTCTGTCAGGAGTGATTTTTTGTGTTTAAAGTATGACTAACGGGTTGTTTGAATGTTTTCGACAAGCTCCTGTTTTTTGGCGGCAAGTTTTTGACGTCGGTGTTAAATCCTTGCCAATTGTAATTTTCGTGTATTTTCTTTGATACCTCTACGTAAAGAACTCTTTATGTTGTGATTTCGATGAATTATTATTGACATTTGTTCTTCGCCTTGTGAGAAAATGTGGTTGTTTTAATTTTGTCACTTTGTAACAACATTCCCAAAAAAACAAAGTCAACATTCATCCATCCCTGTCCCCTTCAAATCTTCCTTACTTACATCGACGCAAAGATGGGCCACTTCGAATGCCTGAAAGGGCGGCGATTCCTTTGGAACAAATCTGTAAAATTCTTCGTCGTCCCTGTACCATTTGATGGTGTACAAAGCAGCGGATTCCAGGTCGTAGTCGCACACCAGCGTCACCGACTCGCCCCTTTTAACTGCTTCCGGCGCCCTGATGTGCATGTTCGTCAGTGCACGCACGTCTGTAACAACAATAAACATTTCAGACAATTTCAGTCGCTTCGGCGGGACCTTCAATTTATATGGTAATGGCTTCGAGTTTGGGTTTCGCCTCGGAATAGTCCGGACCTGGGCGTGAGGAGCAATTTATTAGGGTTAAGTGTGTTGTATTTTTTCCTTTCATTAGTTAATTTTCTCTCAGTTGCTACTTACTATATGGGTTCCTTCAAAGTGGGTAATGAATACAGATCAACTTTCAAAATGCATTGATTTTACTCTATTTGCAGATATTAGTATTTGTATTCATTAACTTCTTCTACCACGAGTAAGTAGGTTGAAGTGAATTCAATTAAAACACTTATTCTACAAACCAGAAATAGAAAATTGTCTCTCGACATCGTTAACTGACTGAGCATCATGAGAAGATAATCAAAATGAATTTTTTGTAGCTGGAAGGAATCTTTTTATGAACATCTCGAAAATACTGACTGACGCCTATCAGAAAACAACTACTCACCTGGCTAATACCACGAAGGGCGTTGGATTATATCCGACAGGCCACAGTGCAGGAATCTTCACAGAAAATTTCCTGCATATGCAATTGGCAATACAAGTGAAAGAGTCGACCTTCAATTTTGGAACGGGCACACTTGCAGACCGGTTTCGGGCTCATTAGCCACTTGTCAGCGCAAGATAGTGGTCATCATCGACCTAAAGTCAATGATATTCCATAATTGAAAATCGGAATTCTTTCAGAGTATTTCATTCCTCTTTTGTTCCAAAATTGAAGGTTGACTCTTTCAGGTGTGTTGCCAATTGCATATGCAGGAAAGTTTCTGTGAAGATTCCTGCACTGACTCCTGTCGGATATAATCCAACGCCCTTCGTGGTATTATCCAGGGAAGTAGTTGTTTTCTGATAGGCGTCAGTCCATTCAACCTACTGAGTAGGTATATTCGAGACTGGCTGGAACGTTTAAAGTTGATTTCTATAGATTTGTTGACTGCCAATCTTCAACCATAGCCCACTGACTTCTAAGAAAGTTTTTCTTCCGTATTCAGAGGAATCGGTCAAATTACGGATATGCAGTTGGTTAGTGCCTCGTCCACTAGATGGAGTGACATTTTGTTGTTCGCTTCACCTTAGGAAGAGGAATGAAATACTCTGAAAGAATTCCGATTTTCAATTATGGAATATCATTGACTTAAGGTCGATGATGGCGATTATCTTGCACTGATGAGTGTCTAATAAGCCCGAAACCGTTCTGCAAGTGTGCTAGTTCCAAAATTGAAGGTCGACTCTTTCAGTTGTATTGCCAATTGCATATGCAGGACATTTTCTGTGAAGATTCCTGAACTGACGCCTGTCGGATACAATCCAACGCCCTTCGTGGTATTAGCCACGGGAGTAGTTGTTTTCTGATAGGAGTCAGTCCATTCAACCTACTGTATAAGTATATTCGAGACTGTCTTGAACGCTTGAAGTTCATTTCTTTAGATCTACTCACTGAAATGATTCTTGTTGTCACTAATTGATTTCGTTATCATCATATTAGTCGAGTTATGGTCAAAGTAACATATTTTTTGGTGATTTGAAACATTTATTTTAATTTGTACAGAAATACACAACTAGATAAAATTCAACAGACGATGGAATCATAACTGATGAATTTATTTTATTAAACTTGTATTATTGCATTCATTTTGACTTATTCACGTGCCTTTTCATAATATGCAATTAAATTGCATTTTTTCATCAGTATTCAAGGAAAACTACAAGTGTGCTATATGGCTGAATTTAAAATTTAATGCAGAATCCAAAAACGAATAGGAAAATCTAGGTTACCATTTGAAAAAATTGACGTCGGTGTCGCGACGCCCTAATGGATGACGCCTATTGCTGGATATCTTCGCAAATACGAGGACCCTTTGTCATCAAAATCATCTGCCTTCACGAAATATGGATATTCTTTCTCATTTTTCAGATATTTGCCCGCGGATTTGTATATGGGACACCCTGTATATATATATGAAATATTCAATAGATGAGATGAAACCCAGTGTAAGCCTAAAAAACTCAAATATCCTAATTCATCAACAAGAACAATTTCATCAAGACGATCGATATGAAGAACAGAAAATAATATAGATGAATCCGAAATTCAGCAAAAAATATGAATTAAATAATCGACCTAGATGCTGGTGCTGTGACGCTCTGATAAATAATATTTGGAAGAGATTTTTCATCATGTTGTATCGAAAATAATTGAAAAATGGCTAAATTGTACTTTATGAGATACTCGCGAGTTCTCTGGGGATCATACCACATGATAGTAGGAATTCAGAACACTTTTTATTTTTAGTCGGACTCAATTAGATTTTGAGATATAGCCTGTCACAATTTGTATGATGTCATATTTTACCTTTTTTGAGCAATAAACGGTTGCAATTCACATATTTTTTTATTCAGCACATCTTTTTTCATATCATGGCACTTTTTTCTACCCCTTTTCATTCACTTATTGCCATATTTCTTAAAATTAGAATGAAATTCCATAATTTGTCAGGTGCTTAGGTATATAACACAAATCACTTTTGGTAAATAGCATAAAGTTTCACTATCGGGATTAGAAAATTCTCTATCAATGAAAAATTATGTTTTTCAATACTCACTTAAAAACTTATAACGTTTTTGAGTTTTTTAACTTCCATTTGATCATGATATTTACCCCTAAAATGAGAACAATAAATTACATGGATGGATAGAATATTGAAAATTATTGATGTGCGAATTTGTCGAATTGTTAGTGCCTAGTTGCGTACGTTTATTTGTCAAGCGGTTGTCTTTTTTTTTGGTTAGCTGTGTTTTCTCTAAATTTTGGTATTTCAGATATCATTCGTGAATAAATGATATATTGCTCAATACAATACACATAGATTTTCGCAATTTTTTCTGGGATGATACTACATGAAGTAACCAGGTTCAATTAAATGCCACAAAAACCCAGGCATCGGTTTTCTCCAGAAAGATAAATGTCTCCGAACCGGATTTAATAATTTAACGTCAGAAAATTTCGCTTTTTGCTTCGATATGTTTGTTGTCGATTAAAATGGTCACCAATATGTCTTATTTCATCAGTTCAAACTTCCATCGTCTACTATATTATGAATTGATTTGCAATCCCTGGAAAAATATTTAAAAAAATAANTTCGAATATTGTTACATTTGGGCAAGCATTCATCAATAATTGTGTTCCATATAATATAAAATTTATCTACAGCCTCATCCACAATATTTTCATATAACACACTATCCCAATCAGTATCTCTAACTCGTTCACTTAGCATAAGAAAATTAGCTTTTTTGTATATAAATCTTGGTTCTAATAGTTCGTTCACACGTTCTTTTACACGTTGAATTTTTATAGTGATTTCTAAGGTAGGATGATAAATATCTTCATTGACAAATGATAAAGAGTCCCTTTGCACAGTACAATTATTAATATTACCTTCAGAAGTGATTACCATGATGATATAATATGACTGCCTAGCTTGCACTGCGATACCCAATACATATGCACGCATATCCGCGAACTCACATCTACAGTCTTATAATGTATGTACCATTTCTTTGATAAAATCGTTATTTTTCATGATTTCAATGCATGACTACTAAACTAGTTGAACAAGTGTCAAAACTATTGATGTTTACGAAACGAAATATATATGTATAAATCTTACATCCTACATATGTATCATATCATATCATATGATATCACACCTTTTTATTATCAATTTCACGCTCATATAAATTATTTACTTTTTCCATGAGGAAATCGTACGTCACGGACGTTAAAGAATGAAAATTAATAGATCATAATTTTTCAGAAAGGAATGAAAGTTCAAGAATATTAATTTTCACTTTGAGACAAATTAGTATGGNCAGTTTGTAATGGAAAATTATATTGAAAAACCTACAAGAATAACTAAATCAACAAATATCTGTATGAGTATAGACGTAATCATTCATGATGATGGACCGTTGCACATTTGACTATCTCGAATTTCATACGAACAGCATGCGTGTATTCTTTCACTTTTCATTATTATCATCACTATCATTATTGAATTTCCCTAGTTCGGACTTCCATTATCTACTATATAAAATGATTTGAAATCCCTGAAACAACTAAAAAAGAAAAACCTACAAGTATTATACATTTTTGAAATCAGCTCAAAGAGGAGTATCCAAATTTTACATAAAAAATATGAGAAGTAATTTAAAAAAAAAAAGGGATGATGCTAGGGGTGAGGGGGTGGCTTTTCCAGTAAGTTTAAATAAGCCATAATGCTTGCCCCTTCCAACATAAATTGACGTGTTTTTGGATTTTTCCAAAATACCAGTATCACAAAAGTTATTAAAGGTGGATACTTTTATCTGAAAAGCACTGTATATTAGAAGATATTAATCCATATTAGTCATTTCCGCTAGAAGTGAATCGCTCTCCCTGCTTTATCAAAATACATCGAACCGAGATAGTGAATAACTTTTGTCATTACGATACTAGATATGACAAGTAACTAATAATAACTGAAAAAAAACTCATAATGATTATTACAGTAAAAAAAGAATTTCAAGAAATCATAATATTTCGCCGAAAGGTCATAGCTATTTTAAGTTCGACACTCCCACGATTACAAAATTACTCCTCAGAGAAAACCTTCTATTTTTATGTTATTTATAGATAGATATCGCATGAAAAATAAAATATTTTAGGAAAACAAATGCTCAACTTTTGGATGGGCAAAACACGCTCGATTTTTAAATCGGCTTTATTCATACCACTTGAAAGTAAAGGTTATTGCATGCTTTTCCTGATTCCCATTCATATGTTAAACTATAATGTTAAACAGATGAAACGTGTTCTCTTAAAACGTAGTATTTATTTACATATGGCTCGAAAAACCTAGATATAAAATTCTGAGATGTTTGCAATCGAATATTTTTTTCTGAATTAA